CCAAGGGGGGGCCCCCGCGGTTGGAGCCGCTGCCCTGGCTTGAGCGGCCGGAAGCGCCGGGGGGATTTTGCTTCGCCTCTTGTTTGCTTTTTCTTTTTTTTTTTATCTTGGCCATGGAATTCTCCTCAATTCCTCCTCGCCCCCCGACTGCAGAGCTCCGGGGAGAGGGGGGGTGCGACCAGAGGGGCCACTGCGGTCCAAGAAGGGGGGGGGGGCTGAATATTCTGGAATCTCTGCCTTGCTTTTCCCCCCCATCCCCTCTATGCTCAGAGCCTTCCTGCAGTAAAAAAACCCCACCAACAAGACCGCACGAAGTGATTTCACCAAGGAAAAGAGGGAAATTCCGTCATTTTCCCCTTCCCTAAGCGGGATTTCCCTCTATTTTTTCCCCTTCCCAAAGTGGGGATTGCGATGGGCAAAAGCCAGAAGCGCCGCTGCCTTCCATGAAGGCCTCCCCATCACGAGGAGATGCTGCATCTACTGAAAAAATCTCTATGAACAGGCGTGGGGGGGCTTGACGTGGCACCTTCTTTTGGGGAAAACCTGCTAAAGGATCCATGAACTCATCTGCGGTGGTGGGAAGGGAGAGGGACGGGGAGGGAAGGAAGGGGAGAAGGTGGAAAGCTGCCATCGCCAACTCCTTCCAAAGCCGCCTGCGATTTATTCCATTTCCCTTTTTCCCCCCCCTCCCCTCCCCGTGCATCTTGCCCAGCTCGGAGTAAATTACGTGGAGCCTCCGCGGGAGGGATCCGCGGGTTTACTGCGCAACCTGGCAATGTAAATAAACAGGCAGGAGCGGGAAGGGGGGGGCGGAAGATGCTCCCCCGCGCAAGTGCTTCAATTTACTCGCCTTTTGTTTCGCGTTGTTGATTTTTTTTTTCTTTCCTCCTCCTTCTTCTTCTTCTTCTCCCCTGCATTTAATTGCTTTAATTTATTTGATGCGCGCTTGGATGCTGAACATTATTTGGTGCTAATGAAAGACTTTCCGTCCGCAGTGAAGTCATTGAAGGGCGAAGGGAGAATCGAGACCAAAAAAATAAATAAATAAAAGGAAATACTGACGGCGAGGCCGAATAGATCGGGTTTCTGGAAATTAGTTACGAGAAGAGACTTAAAACAAGGGGCTGAAAGGCTATTTGGGCTGATTATGGCTCCTTTAAATGCCTCCTTGATGGTCTTACCTACTTCAGGAATAGCCCTGGCGCCGTCACAGAGGGAGAGAGGGACCGGCCAGAGCCCCGAACATCAATTCAATCTCGGTATATTCGCCAAATCTATTGGGAAGGGACTAAAATTTTGATGGGAGCGACTGTCCTAAAATCAGGCAGAAGTTCGGAATGATAGTTCGGAGCCTTCATTCATCTAAAAGGGTTTTTAAGGGTATTGATTTGACATGGGGAAAAAAAAGCAGCAACTCCTAAAGCCCGGGTGGGGATTTTCCTGAGGAAAAGGGAAGGAACCCAACGAGCTGGTAGATTATTGAAGATCTCATTTTTATTTCGAAGCATAATAATCACAGACAAGGAGAAAAAAAACAACCAAAACAAAAACCAACCAACCAAAAAAAAACCAAACCAAAAAGCAACGCGTCTCCATTAAATAATTTGCTACTTTGATAAACAACATTTTACGTAGCACAATATTAATTTTTTTTTTTCCTTTATTTCTCTCTATTTTTTGTCGTAGAACCTGAACAAGGAAGAAATCCAGGTAAAAATATACACGGACAAAAGAGCATTAGCAAGGAGAAAACCCGCGGAGGTGACAGGGAGAAGGAGCAATAATCATCTTATCATCATCTTATTATTATGTACAGGACTATATACGCTAAGTATAATTTGCATTCAGACTTTCAGGTCACATTTTCTAAATGAAAGGTGCTAAACACGACCACGTTACTGCATCCCCCCCCACCCAAAAAAAGGGGGAAAAAAAAAGGTACACGGCGAAGTACAAACGGAGATTTACAAACGACTTGTACTATAGGAAGACTCACATAGAAAAATGTGTCTATTCTGACTCTAAAGCCACATTTAATAGGTAGATATTCATTCTATTGTAAAAAAAAAAAAAGACTTTAATATAGGTAGTATTTTTTTTTCAGTGTCAGGAAACACAAGGTATCATTCCTAGGGTTTTTTAATTATTTATGCACTTAGCATTTCTCTAGTTGAATATATAGTCTTTTTCGGTGTGTTTTCCCCCCCTTTTCTTCCCTGCATCCACCTCTAGGCCCTTTCATTCCTCCTCGTCGTCCTCGGCGTCTGGTTTTTCCTGGCTGCTGGAACCGGAGCAGGCAGTTTTATTCTCTTTTTTCCACTTCATGCGCCGGTTCTGGAACCAGATTTTGATCTGTCGCTCCGTCAGGCACAGGGCGTGGGCGATCTCGATGCGTCTCCTCCTGGTCAGGTAGCGGTTGTAGTGAAACTCCTTCTCCAGCTCCAGGGTCTGGTACCTGGTGTAGGTCTGGCGGCCGCGTTTTCTGTCGGTGCCTGGGAAATAAAAGCAGATTTTCAGGATTTTGGGGGTGATGGTTCAGGCTTTGAAGGTCTGGTTTGATCCCGTTGGGTGCGGCCTAGCGAGGACCCACCCGCTGCAGCCCCACGAAGGGGCAAAACCCTCAGAGGGTCTGGACAACCTGGGACAGCCCTTCTTTTTACGTGCCAGATCAGCTCCTTCCACCCCAGGCTTTCCCCATCTCATCCTCCCTATTTTCAACCCCCAAACTACCCCACTTTTAATTCCCCATCACCAGGGAAAAGCCTGCAGTGATTTTTTTTGTTGGTGTCTTGTGCAAGAGAGTTCACAAACTTTCCTGCCCCGGCAGCAGCGCTCGGAGCTCCTGCTTTCATGTTCGTGTAGACACCAGAAATTTCGGGCCGTGGGGGAATAAACGCAGAAAGACTCAGTGGAGCAGAGGGAGGGAGGCATCTGCTGCCTACACAAATCCAACTGTTTGTCCTCTCCTAAAGCTGTCATCAGGGCTCCCGCTTAGGTGTGTGACGGGCTTAATTATTTCAGGGGATGTTTTGGGCACAGCAGCGACTTCTGGGGATAAACAGGGGGGGCTGTTACCCCCGGGCTGCTCTTGGGGGGGATGTGGACAGATGCGAAGCATCTCAATACTTACCCCAGGCACCCCCACCACCCTCCAGCTGCCTGTGAGCAAGGTTTGGAAAGGGCCCAGCTCCCAATTCTCTCTTCCACCCGACATTTCCTGGAGTCTGATTGGAAACCATTCTGCAATGTGGTGTTTGTGATCCTGGCTCTACTTTTTATGTAAATGCTACTTATATCTATAGCACAATGTATTCTCTCCCGGAGCAGTGGGGTTGGTGAGCAGCAGCCCTCGGCCTCTCCTCCACACATTCCCCTGGACTCCTCTTCTTCCTCCCTTCCCCCCCAACCCCCCCAATTCCAGC